CGGGGATGTTAGACGCCTCCCATCCCCTCCGGCTGGGATAACCAAAAAATATCTCCAAACCCTCCCAAGCATCCCCTGGGAGGCAACACTGCCCCCACGGAGAACCATGACCTTAAAGTAAGAAGATTTTTGCTTTCTGTTTTGGGGGGTCTCCGAGTGCCCTGAAGGAGCAGTGGAAAGCTTTTTGGAGAGAGAGACGAGAGAAGAGAAAGAATCCACAAGAGAGGGAGGGGAAGGATTCGCGTCCTTCCAGTGAGCAGGAAGGACGACTGCTCCGGAGGCTGGCGTATCCCCAAATGGAGGAGGGCTGGCGAAACAACGCTCTCTCGGCACAAAAACGGTGTTTCCGTGGTGTTCCAAACCGGACTTTATAATGAATATTTAACACAGTGATGTGCCAAGAGAATGCCACCCTCCCGGTCTGAGGCTACCAAGGCCCTGGTCTGACAGCCATCTGGACCCCACTTTCCCAGCAGGGCATCTGGGAGGCCTCAGGAAGGGGCCCCAAAGCAGGTCAGAGCGGGGGGACCCACTCAGAGACACCAGGCAATGTCTCTCCAGCAACCACATCCAACACCTTTGTGGTGGCAGCATGGCCCGCAGGGTGGAGAGCAAGGTAGGCAACGAGCCTGCCACCCCACGTGGGCTGTTGAGAAGGGTCCCGCTGTAGTCCAGCTCGGTGAGGACCAACAGAAGGGCTTCTGTATCTCCTCGCCCTCCCTCTGCTCTGCCCTCGGAGGAACCCCTTGTCCAAGGAAGTCCTTGCCCCAGAGGTTGGGTGTGTCGCCCCAAGCAAGGAGAGGGCCCCTGACAGTGCCTGCCTCTCTCCACGGCCCTGGCCGGCGCATCTGGCCACGGCTAGGAGCCAAGAGGAGGAAGCCAGCCCAGGGGTGAAGCCTCAGAATCCTGACTCGGATACAGAGATCCATCTGGGGGGACAGGCAGCACCGTCCCTACCTCCCAGGCCGGGGGGCTGGGATCCTCCCCCACCTCCTCCTCAGAGCTGCTCCCTACCATGTTCTACCACAGCAGCAGTGGGGGGAAAGCACGAACTTCGGGATCAGACAGATCTGGGTTTGAATCCTAACTCAGCCACTTATTAGTCTGAGCCAAGTCACTTGGTTTCTGGGAGCCACAGCTGTCAAAGGAATGCCGCTGGCCTGAGGCCACAGTAAGGATTCACGGCGCCTGTCTCTGAGATTCTCAGCCCTGTGCCTGACATGTGGTAGGTACTGGAATGACACTGTGGTATTTGAGAAAGTGCAGAGTCCCTGTCCTCGGAGTCTTCCTGTGGGCCCGTCACAGCCTCAGCTGGCTCTGGGGCCCATCCTCTCCTCCTTCAAATCTATGCTGGTGCCCCTGTCAGGCGCTGTTTACCACTCCTGTCTGTGCCAGGGCCCAGCTACTGCCTCGGGGACCTCTGCCAGCCTGGCTGTCCCCTCATTCCTGCATTCGCAACCCCGCTGTGCATGGTAGCATGCTCACCGGGCCCGCATGCTCCATATCACCAAACCCCCCCACCCCCAGCCTGAGGCAGCCTCAGCTCCAAACCACTCCAGAAATCCTCTCCCCCCAAGTCCACAGGGAGGGCTGCCTCCTCTAAGCAACTTCAGCACCGCCCCCAAATCATTCCATGGGCCGAGGCTTATCTTTGCAGTCAGACCGAAGCTTCTAGAATGTGAGCCTGTCATCCTAGGCATACACCAGACACTCACTACCTGCTGAACACAACTGCTCCTTCTGTTTCAAAGCTCTCAAAATGGTTCCCCAGTCCTGAGATTTGAAGATGCTTTAAGGAAAGTGGCCTGGTTCGGATGGGTAAACCGAGGCACAGGCAAATGAAGTCCATCAGGGGCCCACGCAGCATGTCAGGAAGAGAGAGGAGGGAGTCAGGCCACCAGCTGCAGCTTCGTGAATACGTACAGCACATCCCCAGGGTAATGCAAGAGGAAAGTGAGAGGCAGGATGCCCTGAGCTCAGCCTGAGAGCCGGGCCTGATCAGATGGTTTGGAGCGTTTCACTGATGGCTTTGGCCCCTCCTCCAGGGTTAGCACAAAGGGTCCATACATCCTGGGAACAGGATCCCTCCCTGATCTCACCAGGACAGGCCTGGCCCCGCAAATCAAGATCAGAAATGGTCACAGGCAGGCAGGCAGGCGCTCCAAGGGGACAGCACAGGGACACCCTTCTTACTGGCTTCATGAAATCCCACAGGAAATTAGTGTTTCCAGCATCCCAGCCAGATAAACTCCCCACACAATGCACGGGCTGAGCTGTGGGTCCTCTGGGAGGAAAGGTGGCCAGAACCCTGCAGCTAGGAAGTCAGGATCCCACCGCTCACAGACCCCCTGAGGCAGCTGTAGGTCCACACACAACATCTCCTCAGCATGGCGAGCCTCCCTTCCCCAGAGGAACAGGCCCCTCGCGGGGTGGAGAAGCTCTGCCTCAACTTCCCCTTCTGTTTCCACATCCCATAGGGCAAGCCAGCAGTAAGCAGAAGAATCAGATTTAAGCAGCCTTTCGGGAACCTCTGGAAGACATTTACTCTCCCCACCCACTTTCCAGTAGGCTATAAGGAGAAGGAACGCGGAACCAAGCCTCTAGAAATAATAGTCTCCAAGGCAAGCCCCGGGGGCACAGTGTTTGGTGAGGGCGAAGCAGAAGTGCTCCCTGTCCAAGGCTGAGTCATGGGTCTGAGGTCAAGAGAGCCTGAGCAGGACACAGGCTTACTTTTCTCCAATAAAGGTCCCCAGTAAAGTTCAGAGGACATGGAGAGGGACGCCAGGGAAGAAGGACTACTAGGCGACTGGCCTCCACGTCGGGAACACCAAGACCTTGGTGGCACTTCCCATGCACTGGCCTCCACCCTCCACACAGCTTCAGATCCCAGAGATTTAACAAGACCCTTCTGAAGGAATCCCATCTCCATCTGGGCAAGCCTTTAGAAAACAGTTCCAAAAGTATACTTTGCTCTATAGAAGACAGTATTTCCTTATACGGTTCATCAAAGACCTCGACCACTCAGTCGCTTGGATGGTCACACAGCCAGCACCCGGGGTTGTGTCCTGAGCGAGACTGCTACCCTCCCAACTCCAGGGACAGAGACACAGCCGGTACATCAGATGGGCCACCAGACTCCCTGACATCCCCGGGACAGGCTCTCTACCGGAGACCCTGATCAAGCCTCAAACTGCGAGAATAATTTTAACAGGCGCTTTGATGGAAACGGCCTTGTCCACAGCACACCTTTCAGCCTCATCTGAACCCGATTCCACGGAAGCTGCTTTACGACTGAGAGCTCTTGACGCTTGACAACAACGCACAGTTCTTGTCCACGGGTGCACAAATTCGGTCTTGTCCTCCGCCCTGGGAGACAGCCAATTCTGCTCTCTGTTTGCACCTTTGTTTCAAAATGCCTGATTATAAATGTTTCCATTCTTGGAGTTCTCTTTTGAAAGCATTATCACATTTGCCTGGTCCTCTCATTGATTAGTGAGTGAAACAAAACCTGTAACACTTAGCTGCTTTTATTTCTGTACGAAAGCCCTGATTTTACCTTTTCCTGAAAATTGTCCTTTAACAAACTGAAGGACTCTGGGACTGAATAGGGCCTGGCTCACAGGGTCACCCTCCTGGGGTCTGCAGCCCTCGGTGTGGACCCAGGACCCAGGCTCCCAGCATCTGAGGGCCTCCTGTCCCCGCCCCACCACTCCCATTCTCCACCTGCCTGCGGGCTCCGGCTAACCCTGCTCTTGCACTGATGGGATTAGTACTGGGCTGTGTGCCTGAGGTTAGGCTAGCAATCTCTAGAGCCGGGGTGGGTGGTCCATATTCATAGTTATCCCCCCTCCCTCATGAACAGCCCCAATTGTTATCCTTTGCTCCTTGAGTCCCAAACCGCAGGTTCCTTAAGGGATGGAAGAACTAATATCCAAACAAAGAGGCAGGGATGGGGGAGATACTTTCGGGCACCCCTCCTCTCCCCTGAGGCTCCTTGTAATTGGATCGGATTTCTAGCCCCACTTTTCCTTACACCTGCCTTGCAGACACAAATCTGCTGCCTTCCTGCTCCCTCTCAGCGGATGCTGGCCCCCTGCCTTTCCCATAGACGCTGCTTGCTTCCAGATCACCTAGCGGGGGTTGGATACTGTGCGCCGTGCACTTGGGGCATCAAAAAAAGTATAAGACAAAGCCCCCACCTCAGGACCCCAGCTTCAGGGGCTTAGACAAGGGAGTACTTATATACGCACACAGACAACAGAGCTGTAAGAACAAGGAAGGATGGAAAGTTTTGTCACCCCCAAAAGATGCCTCTTTGGCATACTGATTGTTTTAAGCTGGTTATTTTTAAGAAATTCCGGACATATGAGAAGCCCTGCCAACCCCAGTGGAAGCTACCCTTTTGTAGGAGACATTGACAGGTGTAAGGGAACTGTATTTGTAAGGGTGTCTCCCCAGCAGTACCAGAAGGGGATGCTTCAAGCTCTGGAAACTCTTACCAATGGAGCCGAAGACCTAAATCTGCAGAAGAGTGTTTTTGTTCTCAGGGAACATCAAAGGCCCACCTTCCAGGCCTGGGATTCGACCCCATCCCCACCCCAGGGCCGACTCACAACTAGCTGGCCAGCCTTTCCTCCTGGGATCGGGCATTTTCTGCAGATGGGCGTCTCAGCGAAGAAGTCTACAACTCCAAGCCTCGTGAGCTGCTCCCACCACCACCACCACCGCTGCCTGGGGCTCTGAATGTGTCCCCACCCTAAAGCCACTGTCCCCGGGATGCCAGCTTGCCAGGGGCTGGCGCTGATGGCCGGGGACCCCTTGGCACAGGCGTGCACAGTGGAGACCAGCCTTGGCCTGGAGTGGACAACAGGTCTGCTCAGGCCTGTCCCACTGCTGGGAAAACTCCACCGGGAAACACCGGGCCAGAGAGAAATGGGCTGCTAGGACCAAGACCGGTGGCGCCCCCCCACCCCGACACCCCGGGATGCGGGGACACTCACAATGTTCATGAGGGTGAGGACGTAGTTCTGCACGTGCTCCTTGCCATGGAAACGCACCACCGAGTCATCGACCACCAGCAGCACCTCGATGCTGTAACTCCCCGCCTTCGCGTGCCGCCGCTTCCGCTCCCCGTCGCCCAGCGGCTGCCCCACCAGACCCAGCAGGTTGGGGAGGTCACCCAGGCCGAAGGCTGCCAACCAGGACGGGAAGACGGACAGAGGTCAGACCCATGGGAGCGGCTGTGGCTCGGATGCCGCCCACCGGCCCACCCAGCCCCATCACGTGGGCCCTCTTCCTGCCTCTGGAAGCCAGCTTAGCATGACGGTTCCTTCCACACGGCGGAATTCGGGGGCACAAGCCCTTTGCCGAGCACCATGCTATGGCTCCATCTTTGAGGCGATGAACTGCAGAGAAGGGGGATCTGGCTGGGAATCCTGAGCCTAGGTCCCCAGTTCTCATGCAGCGCTATCTCCCTGTGTGCCCTAGCCTGGCCCACTCACCCATCCAAGCCCCCCTTTCCCCTCCTGGGACGTGGGGATGAACCATCCTTGATCTCTTACCCAGGACCTGGCTATAAAAATCAAAGGGGGCAGTGGATAGAAACATCTCGATAAAGAGAAAAAATCGTGGTGCAAGCCTATGCAGGAACCCCTGGAGTACGTCTCCCCACCCCCCCAGATCCTTCCCTCCAGGTCACTGCTAGCAACCCAAAATGTCATCACCACCACTTTGCCTTTTTGGCAAAAAGCAAAAATATTTATTTAACTAGGATCATGAACTTGTATGATGTAATCTAGGAGTTGTCAAACATTTTCTGTAGAGGACCATATAGTAAGTATTTTTGGCTTTGTGAGTCATACCGTCTCTGTCTCAGCGATTCAATCTGGCATACAAGTGCCCATAGACAATATATAAGCAGGCAAGTATGTCTGTCCCAATAAAACTTAAATTCCAGAAATACGTGGTGGGTCTTAGTTTACAAACCCCCAGCCTAACTGAGTCCAATCCAATCCTTACAACTCTCAGGTCACTGCTCCAATATGGTCACTGCTCTAACAGGTCAACATACTGAGGTCCAGAGAAGCTTGTCCTGGTCTGTCCCAATCAAGAGAGTGGGCTTGGAAAGTCACCATGGGGTCTACTACCGAGAAGGTAGCACCCAAAGCAGATATCAGTCATCTACATCCTAATCTGAATAGACCAGAGCAACATTGCTTGGGGCAGTCAAGTTAAGGGTTCCTGAGGACGCTGTGGGAAAAACTAATGAAGGGGGTCACCATTTGCCGCCCCAAAATATGTCTCTGTGGCATGAGGGTTATTTTAGACGGATTATTTTTAAGAAACAGCAGACACAGGGAAATTTCTGGAAATTGTGTAGAAGTGAGCCTTTTCTCAAGAGACGTTTTCATGTAGAAGGAAAATCCCCATTTGTAAGGGTGTCTCCCTGTCTCTACCAGGAAAAGGAGGATGACTTTAAATCTCGGGAAACTCTTATCAATAAAGAAGGAAATGACCTAGATCCACATAACCTTCCCCTTGTTTACTGAACTTTCCTTGGTAACGTCCCATAACCCGCTCCTCCTCTCCACCCACCAACATCTTCTTATTGTCTTTAGCTGGAGATGTTAAGGTGGTGGCTTCTACCATTTGGGGGGTTACTCAGGCTCCCTGGGGCTCTCCCATGTATACAGGAGGTATGCATGTAGTTAAACCTCTGTTTGCTTTATTCTTGCTTATCTTTTATTACAGGGTGCCTCAGCCAAGAACCTAGAAGGATAAAGGGAAATTTATTTCTCCTCCCCCACACTAAGGAAGCAAGATAGGAACCTGGGGTCTCTTGAGAAGGCTCCAAAGCCTTAACATTTCATGATTTCCCCACCATCCTACCCTGAAGTTCTGATCCTTGTACCACTGATTTCTGTGAATATCCAGTTATGTGAGAATCTCCCAAAGAGTGGGACAGAGGCTAAGGATAGAAAAATGCCACCAGTGCACATCCAGCATGTATCAAGGTGTGTGGCTACAGGAGGGACCCAAACTTAGGAGGTGGGTGGACGCTGGGTAGGTGATGAAGGCAGGGTCCCCTCCTCTCGAGCCCCAATGCCTGCCCCAGGTGACAGAGAAGGAACCAGAAGGTAGTATTACGATAACTTCAAGGCCTACAGGAGGACAGACTAGGGAAGGCTGCCACACCAGAGACCCAAGCCAGAACTGGGGAACTGACAGAAGCTTCTAGAGGAGAGGACATCGAAACTGGGCCAGACCGGGAATAGGAGAAACCTGCTGGAGTTTAGGGAACGGAGGATCCCGAGCAGAGGGAAGGACACTGGCAAAATCCACTGTGAGCAAGTATGGGGTGATGCCGGCCACAGTGTGGGTAACCCTTGTGGAGCGTTCCACCGGTGCCTCGGCAGAGACACAAGTCCTGCCTCTCAGCTTCTATGGACACGGGCAATTGAGGACCTGAAATCTGAGGACAGGACAACAGGGGGAACCATGGGACTCTGCTGTTTCTCTTTCTCTTCCCTCCGGTTAGCGGCCCGCAAGCGCAAAGGAAGGAAAGCACTGGACTAAAGCGTTGGAAAAACGTGCCCACTGGCCCATGGGGAAAGCAGAAGCATGCGGCCAGCCCACTGAGTGACGCACAGGCTGGAGAGCGGGGCTCCAGCTGCTGTCGCCCTCACTCGACCTGGCACCTGAGCCCAGGGGTGAGTATAGCAGCCCAGAGATAAATGTCTAGGAGAGAGGAGGGGAGGAGAGGGGGCAGGCATTCTCCCCCTGGAGTGGGGACATTAAACGACAGTCACTCCCAACACAACATGTTAGCAGGGCCCGTAGATTTACCAACTGCGAGTGAAATGTGCAGCTGGAACCTTGACAGTTCTCCCAGTCAGGTCTGTCAAAGGGAGGCTCAGAGAGGCTGCCGGATGCCTCCCGGGTCACACAGCAGGTTAACGGCCAAAGCCCAGAACAAAAGCAAACCCAGGGCTCTGGCTCCTCTGTGGTCACACCCTCTCAGGGCCCACCCGGACTTCCCTCACAGCAAAGATAGCAAGGGGCTGTGGGGAGGACCTGCTGACGTCACCACAGGCCCTGGGGAGGTGCCACCCACACCCTCTTCCGTCTCTCATTCTTTGGGCCAGACCTAGGTAACCTTCCAAGTGGGAAGGGTGGGGGGAGCAGGGCTCCTGGGAAGCTTTCCAGGAGCCCACCCAAGAAGCCCCCCTGAGAGTGTGACATGGTGCGGCTGCTCTGAAAAACAGCCTGGCAGTTGCCCCAGAAGTTAAATACAGTGTTACCATAGGATGCAGCGATTCCGCTCCAAGCTCTACGCCCAAAAGAAATGAAAACATACGTCCACACAAAAACTTGTACATGAACGCTCGTAGCGGTGTTATGGTCATACCCAAAAAATGGAAACAACCCAAATGTCCATCCACAGATGGCGAGATAAAGAAAACGTGGTCTGTTCATGCAATTGGAGTATCACCGGCCACACGCAGGGAAGGGCTGTCACATGCTACAAGGATGGAACGCACAGGCTGAGTGACAGAAGCCAGTCACAGAAGGCCACATGTTGCCTGATTCCTTTTACATAAGACGCCCAGAACAGGCATATCCATGGAGAGAGGAGGTAGATGGGTGGCTGCCCGGGGGCTGGGGAGGGGGCGAAGGAGGACTGGTCGTTGATTCATGAGAGCGGGGCTGTGGGGTGAGGAGGGAAAGCGCAGCCTTAGGAGCATGGCTGTGTCTGGGACACAGGCCCTGAGGCCAAGCAGGGTCCACAGGGCAGTCTCTGTGGTGGTCTGGCCAGGGGAATTTCTACCTCCAGACTCCGAATGCAGTGTGTTACGTATGAGTGGATGAGTGTGTGAGGTGTGTGAGTGTGTGCTCTGTATGAGTGGGTGAGTCTGTGGGGACACGCATGCTCTTCCAGAAGCAGCTGTCAAGACCACACCCTGAGTGCCAAGAAGAGTCCCCTCTGTCCCCAAGTTCATCAGTGCATGTCAGATACTCCTACAGTGGCACCCAGTGGGCTGAGGCCCCTTCACAGGCCACAGCTCAGCTAGAAAATCAATCTGATCGGTCTTCTGATGCCTCCTCTCCTTCCTCGAGGAAAGCCAGACCCTGTGGGGTGGTAGAGGCCATGTAAGGAAGAAAGATCATGAAGATGTAGTATCTGTTCTCCAGGAACCCCCCAGCCTATCTGGGACAAGAAGACGGTCCCCGGTGAAATCCAGAGGGCTCAGTGATCCAGGAAAGGGGACCCTTGAGCTGGGCTGACACTTGGGCAGCATGGGCCATGGGGGCAGACAGAGATGGAGAAAGGAGCTCAGGCTGAGGCAGATTTCTCAAAAGCCCATTTATTGGCAACTAAGCAAACTCTAGCCTAGGCCTCTGAGGCATTTCTCTGAGGGCTAAGAGGTATACCCACAGAGGTGAGGTGAAACCTTTTGACTTAATCAAGAATGATAAGCAGGGACAGGCACACCCAGAAATGCTAATCTGGGCTCTCTGGGCCCAGACCCACCAGTGGTCTTAAAGTAACAGTGAATGTCGACAGGTTTCCAAGAAAGCCCTCCACCACCGCTTGTCTTTCTAAGGAGAGACACAGGTGGGCCCAGAGCATGGCATCCCCCACAGGCCCAGGGCTCCCCCCATGACGGGGAGCCCCACCAGCCTTCCCCAGCCCGAGTGCCAACTCTGTGAGCTCAGTGGCTTCCTAGCCACTGACTGTGACAGCAAGCAATGTGGTTGGTTCCAGGCTCACAGCCGGGGAGCAGAACTTCCCCAGGGTCTACCCAAAAAGGGATATTGATGGTCTTTTGTTCAGAACTGGCCTCAGATAAAATGGAGCCCAGGGAAACACGTTCTTCTTCCCAGCCACAGTGGAAGGCATGGTGCTGTCCTAGGCTAGCCCTGAAATCCACCCCAGCTCCCCCCAACACCCCCCGAAGCTCCACGAGTCCCTGACCCCCCCCATCCCAAGCCTGCAGAGCCCTCCACCACCCAGCTCGGCCTCTCCTATGAGCAACACTGGGACAGCCGCTGGAGCCTCAAAGGAGGCCTCGTGTGTGGGGACAACTGGTTTCCAAGCATTCCCTCTCACTCTGCCCCACCCCACCAGGGCCCTGGCAGGAGGGTGTGGTCCATTCAAGGCCAGATTCCACCCAAGGCCTCCTCGTGTCCTCTTGGCCCAAGGGGCTTCATGGCAAAGCTAAGCTGGACAGTGTGTCTGGCCATGGGCCTGAGACCAGCACACGCTGCCTCCCCCCTTCACTCCGAGCATGGGTCCTAAAGGCTGCTGGTATGAGGGCTCCTGTGCCCATCCCCAGGCTGTAAAGCTGCCCCTGCTCCCTGGGGGCTCTCGCCTAACTGCTCAGTACTTACCCTAATAACAATACTGGAGTAAGAGCAAATCATTTATCAAACACCTGCTATGTGCCACGCTGGGAGTTTTATATGGACTATCACTAATACACGCGGCCAGAGACAGCCACAGTTGCCCCCACCTTACAGATTAGAAAACGAGGTTCAGAGATGTTAAGTAACTTGGTTAGGGTCTCACAGCTGACAGTGTTGGGCATAGGATTTAAAAATGGTCTGTTGGACCCAAAGTGGACCCCGATGCCCTGATACCTGGCAGTTCCCCCTATGAGTGCCCTAAGACCTTCCTTCCTCTGATTCCCAAGGGCTGAGCTGATTTTTAAGGGGGGAAAGAGCTAACTGGAACCATTGCACCTTCTGCTAGGCCGGGAAATCTCCTTCCGAAGCAATGTAGGGCTGCGCAGAGACTTCTGGAGTCCCCAGGGCCTCAGTTCAGGGGACCCAAGTCACTCGCCTGGCCCCCAACTCCAGCCAGCTGTAGTAGCCTCTAAAACCCCCTGGGTTTCTCTGCTGGTATACGTGCTCCAGTCCCACTTTACAGATGAGAAGACTGAGGCCAAGGCTCCAGAGGTTAAGGTCTAAAGTGACCTAGAAATACTGCAGGTCCAGGCCGAGGTGGAGCTCAGGGACCTGCCCATTGCCTACCTTCATTGTGAAGGTCCCCGCTGGGCTCGGCCCACTCCTGCCGGCGGACCTCCCGGCGGTACACCACATGCGTCCTCCCGCGGGCCTCCTGCTCTTGCTGCCCCCACTCCAGGGGCTCTATGAAGTAGTCACTGCTGTCCGTGCGGATGAGGCCCGCCTGAACCAGGCCCGCGGCCAGCCGGAGGAGCAAAGGGGGAGAGAGAAAGAGTGTGAATACACCGCACACAACAGGCGAGCATTTGGGAACACACATGTGTGTGACTCCCCGCGTGCAGACCCCTCCTTGAGGGCGGGGAGGGGCGAGTGGGTGGGGGGACGCCAAGGAAAGGGTGGGGGGGCATGCCCATTTCGAGCAGAGCGGACCCACTTTTCCTGTGCTGTGGAACCCCATGAGTGTGCAGAATTCCACCCCCAAAGCGCCATCCCGAAGATCTGCCTTTACCTACATGGCAGACCGGGGGGGGGGGGGGGGTGCCTACTGGTAAAGGTTAATTATGCCTCACATGGGTGCTTGCTCCCCCACTCCCATACAAAGGGCTATTATTTCAGATTTAAAGCATGTGTGCCTCTACACCCGGGACAGCCGCTAATGTTCGCCGACAATGAAAGAGCCAGGGTAGGGCACAGGAATGCGTGCCCTGTTTTTAATCTAATTTTTTGCCTGCATCAAGATATGCCTGTAAAAATAATCAGGTATTGGCCTTGGAAATGACAACATTAAAAATATAACCTTGGCCAAGGCCGGCAAGCGTGTTATTAGCCCCCAGTGAAGGCAATAATCATGGGGGCCAACGAGACTTGTAATGCGATGTGTGTGAAGACATGGGTTGGGTTGCACAAGCTCCTGCCCTCCCCCCACCACCCCTCACCTCCCCCACCCCCCCACCCTCCTTCATCTCCCCCATCCTCCCACCCTCGCCAGCTCTAGAAAGTAGTCAGACAAGCCCACCCACCACAGTGCCTGAAAAACATTAGGCAGTTCTAAAGGAATATACATTTGTCGAATTCCTTCACTCATTCAACAGCTACCTATTAAGTGCCTGCTGTACACCAGCACTGCTCCAGACACTGGGAATGCAGCTGTGAACACCAGGCAGCGTGTGAAGAAACCATTCTTACCGAACCCATCAGACCTTCTCCACTTGAATCGAAGAGGCTCTTTTTAAAGCAGCTGTGACTTTACGCACCCAAATGCCACCAATATCCCCACCGTAGCCTGTTCTGAGAGACGTCCTCTAAGACCTCCTGAGCACTTGCGTCGGCCGCCATCAGTCCTCTTCCAGCCACAGCTACTGCAGCTCCTCAAATTCTGGCATCCCCTGCCCCACGTGGCCACCAGATCTCAGGGCCTCCCATGAGGGACGCAGGCTCTGGAATGATCCGCACGGCAGCAGGCTGGGCTGCAAGGCACTGCCGTCCGGCTCACCCCTTCTGCCCACAATCATGGACCTTTCAAGATCGCCATGTGTGCCCCAGTCTGAAGCTTCAATCTATCCGTCAACCACCTCCCTACTCAGGGGAGTTCTTCACTTTTGTTTGGATGCCTCCAGCAACACAGAGCTCCCTCCTTCAAGATGTAACCTGTTCTGTGCAGGGACACTGGTAAGGTTTTACTGAGCTGCAACACACTTCCCTATACTCCACCCTTTGTAAACAGTCTTCTTATCACAGATGGTAACAACACCATCTGCCACTTTGTTTACATATCTCATTTCACCTTTACAACAGCCTTAGAAGACAGAAGCAAATATTAGACCCATTTCACAGATCAGGAAGCAGGCTCCATTGGGATGGTTAAGAAACCTGCCCAGTCACCCAGTAAGTAAGTGACAGCACAGGCCTCTCCCCAGGGAAGAGTTAGTGAACCCCTATTTCCCCTATCCCGGTTAACTGGGGAGGGCAAAGACCCAAGCCCTGTAATACACAATCTGGGAAAGAAGTTTCAAACCTCTCTGTGACTATCGATCCCACCAAACCCCTGGGGTCAAGGACAGAACTTGCCAGCAATGTTCCTGGTCCATTTTGGGCATTGCGTCTGGCCTTGACAGACCTCAACCTCTGAGACTCTCCTCCTAGAGAGGGCATGGGTGGGCAGGCTCGGCCACGATCAGGGGGTAGACTGGGCAGGTCCCTCCCCCATGGCCTTCGGTTTCCCCATCTGCATCGTGAGAGGTTTGGCGGACCATCTCCTGCTCTGCCCTGGCCAGGAAACCAGGCACCACTTGGGGCAGACAGACTGGCAACGGGAACATTCTGGCTCTCTGCCTCCCTGCCAAATTACTCCCGTCTCTCAATTTATGAGATGTTTATATTTCTGAAAAGTGGTGGCTAATTTTAAAGGACTCAGATCAAATCAAATTTCTGTATAAGACATCCAGAAAAGGGGGAACTTAAGTTTCTGGAAAATAAAGGTCGGCCCTATCTGTTTTCACCGGTACCTTCTTCTCGTGGAAATAGTAACTCCATGGAAACATGCATGAGAAAGGGTCTTCATGCAGCACAGACAGCAACAACACACAGCTGCTTAGAGCCTGCTGAGCCACATACTAGGCAGGCCCTCAGGCCATTTCTCCAAATAGAAACTCTCCAAGGCACAGGCCTGGCCACCAGCAGCCAGGCTCTGGACCCCTTTCCTATGGCTGCTACTGAGAGGCCTTTCTTGGGAGGTGAGTGGCCAAAGGGGACCTGTCTGACATCTCCAATATGGCATCATGACATCATGTCAGTTGCAAAGGTTATGCCTTCTGCTGTGTCTTCAGCCAGAGGCCTCAGCCCAGCCTCCCTGCAGGGGAAGCCCCCAGGTCCAGAGGGCAAGTCTGGGGCACCTGAAAGAGACGGGGTCATGTGGCGTTGGAGGACACAGGCACTGGCTTATCCTTGTCTCCTGCCACAGGTCATAATTGAGCAAGTTCAGCTGGTCATTGGTAGCTGTCTACCATCAGGACGAGGTCCCACATATTTCAGCAGGTAACTGAAGCCATGTTATTTTAGAATTAGACATCTGTATACATGTGTATATATAAATGTGTTTATTCTGACATTGCACGTATTTGCACATAAACTGTGAGGCAAGGGTACGATAAGGCAACACTTCTCCTAGAAGAGACCCTATGAAGACCCTAGAAGAGACATATGTCAGTGTCCCTGCAGGTGCTGAAGACTGGGCTGAGACAGGAAAGCGCTGCGTCTGTGCAAGGTCAAGTGCAGAGACAGTGAGCAAGGACTTGGCCTGGGATCCAGGCACTGGTAAGTGGCGGAACTCTGAGAGGACAGCCATACACCCTCTCTCTAGCAAAGTGTAATCCAGAGCCCCCTTGCTGTGCCCTCAGATTCACTAACCTTTGCAGAATGCCCAGGAGGACCTATTTCAAGATGACAGCCCCAATGAAGCCAGGTGAGGGGTAAGCCAGGTCCCCTCCTGCTTCTTCTTCCAAGGTGAGCCCATGCAGGGCCTCCCCAGAGGATAAAGGAGCAGAGCAGGCCTCCAACCCATCCAACCACCCCACCACCTCCCAAAGAGAGCACATTCTTGGGCCCAAACGTGTTCTGCAAATTCCATTACCAAGGTTTTACTGCCGGCTGTGCTGCCTCAGGTTCCAGGCTTCCAGCAAACCCATCTTAAAACTCTTCCACTGTAGGAAACGAAAGGAAGCCTAGCAAGGGGAAGCCGGTGGGGGTGGGGGGAGATGCACATAGCTGGGAGCAGTAAGAGAACCTGAAATGGCTTCCCTCCGGTCCCCCCACTCCCCGCCCCAACCCAGCAACCTGCTTCTATCCCCGGCCTAGACCACATCACCAGCCAGAACTCAAAAGCCCCCACTGCAGGTATCCACTTCCCTCCCACCACCGTCCTACTCACCCAACCCCTGCACTCTGGCTCCACCTATCACCAAGCATCACCAAGACCTCCAGCGCATGACGTGACCTCACTGCTCCATCACTGTCCATACCTCCACCATCACCACCCGCCCCTGCCACGTCCTCGCGTCCCTTCCTCCCACCTTGGACTTCTCAGTCTAGATGCATAATACTTCTGTGAACACCCATAACTCTCTCTCCCTGCCTTTCCTTCCTTCCCACTGCCCTGGTTCGACCCACCTGACCACCCTCTCCAGGTCTGCATACCGAGAGAGAAACACACGCAGTGCCCACTGATCTCACTTGGAATCAGCGGCTGCATTTCCCTGCTACATCTGCATCCCAGCTCTCCCGATGGCTGAGACACCTACCACTGTCCCCAGCTCTTGTCCTATTTTCAAAGAGAAACAGGCACCATCAGGCAGGCTCTTCCCTACCCTGCCACCCACCACCCTATGAACTTCCTCCAGCTGTGCCCATCCTCATCTCCGGCTCCCCTCCCTCTCTCCCTCTCCTTAAAATTAGCACCCCTCTTTCCGGCATCACCATGCTCAGGCTCTCTTGGAACATTCTTGCTGGCATGCGCATGCCCTCAGGGATGCCCCACCTGGGAAACTCCCTCCCCTTACTAGCCCTGGCTGGCTACTGCCAGAGTCTCTGCTCCTCTCCACACCGGACACAGCTGGTGATACGGCCACTCTGGACAGCACTCTAGCAGCCCCACAAAATACGAAACGGTGACCACAGGACCCCACAATTCCACTCCAACAGATGAATGGATGAACAGAAAAACAAAAGCAAAAACACATGATGCATGCCGAAACACAGATGAATCTCGAACACGTCCTGCTGAGTCAAAGAAGCCAGGCACGACAGGCCACACAGTATACGATTCCATCCATAGGAAACATCCAGAATGGAGAAAAGTCTATAGACAGATACAGACAGAGAAAGATGAGCAGTTGCCAAGGGCTGGGGTCATGGATTGGGGGGCGGAGGGAGGTAAAGGGTGACCGCAAAAGGGCACAAGGCTTCTTTCTGGGATAGTAAAAACGGTCTCAAACTGAATGTGGCAATAATTACCCAAATCCACGCACATCATAAAAATTCACTGCACTGTACACTTTACACTTTACAGTACGGGACCTGTATCTCAATAAACCTATTAAACAGGCATTTACGGAAATGAGAGACCACACACAGGCATACCACAGGGCCACGCACGCACCGCGAGGCCACTCAAGGGATGGCGCCTGCCGCGTGCCGGCGCACACACACGCACGCACGCACGCCGAGGAC